AGGAGTAACGTGCCAAATAGGGACCACGAATTCCTGACTTAATCTGTCAGCCCGGCTAATGAGTTTGGAACAAGTTACTTGCCCTTCCTCTGGGGTGTAATTCCTTCTGGCTACCCGAGACCATAAGCAGGGACATCTGTCTTTATATTAAGCTCCCTTATATATTGCTCTGCTGATGCGTGTTTGGTAGATAATTATGCCTTCTGTAATCACATTATCCACCTGCTGGGTTTGCAGTGGACTCCCTTCAGAGTTATATTCCTGTTGGGGATTGCCCTCTGCGTTCTGGGTTGTCCTACTTTACTTTGTTGATAATCTCAACAGAGAATAGAGCTTGAGTTTTCTGCTGAATGGCTGGAAATATCTAGTCAGCTGTTCACCCGAAATGCCAGGATCTTCCAGGCTGGCTGGAGGCTAGGAGCCTCTTCTGATAAGCAACTAGCTACCCACCCAGCCCTTCCTACCCAGTCTTGAGAAGAGAGATCCAAGATGGCAACTCTTGCAGTAGCAGAGAGAGGAGCAGACATAGGGCACAGATGCACATGCTTATCCCAAATCCAGTGAATAGGCGATGGGTTCGGTGTGATCATGTTTCAAGTTTAAGGAACCATCTCAGAGGAGTATAATCCCCACCAGTGCCTGAAGGCAAACTATGCCAAATCTTTATTTCTCCAGTGGAAAAATCGCTTTTCTCTCATTCCAAAATCTCTTGTTGCCTGGAGCCAAAGAGCAACTTCTGGGCACAAGCTCAGGTCCCCACCCACTCGGTCTGGTAGAGACCCATCGAGTGTTTGCCTGGTTAGAAATGTGCTGCTTGCATTACCTGAGCTGTTTGGTATCTGGCCAGGTACACAGGAGAGGTGCCATCCTTTCCAACCCCGCAGCTCAGCCTCCTCCTTCACGCCCCCCATATCAGGAGGGCAGCCAAGGAGTGACAAGAAAGAAAGGAGGCCCCACTGGACAAGGCTCGGAGCCCATATCCTCGAGGTGACACCTGAGAGCCCAGGAAATACACTGCCCTTGAATGTAAATGCCACAGCCACTGGTAGGGGGAGGAATGGCATCACTGAGGAAGCAGAGCTGGCTTGGAAGCTGATATGCAGGGGGTGGCAGCTCAGCCTCAGCTTCTCATGCCCCACCACAAGCCTCACTCCTTCTTGGGAACCCTGCACTTGACTCACTTCTCTGAGAAGTTAACCAGCATCACCAAGCTATGATCACTCCATGCCCCATAAAAACAAAAACAAACCAAAAAAGTTGCTTTCGGGTCGATGCCAACTTACAGTGACCCTACAGGACAGAGTAGAACTGCCCTATAAGGTTTCCGAGGCGGCAAATCTTTATGAAGCAGACTGCACGTCTTTCTCCCCTGGAGTGGCTGGTGGGTTTGAACCACCAACCTTTGGTTAGCAGCCAAGCTCTTAACCACTGCACCACCAGGGCTCCTTCCATGCCCCATAGTATCCTAGAACTTGGCCCGTCATTCTAGCTTAGGCTCTCTCTCTTTGAGATCTCTCTTTTCATGTCCATGTCCCATAGCCCTTGTAGGATTGAACTCACAAGGGCTGCATTACATCCCTTCCTTTCTCTGTTTATCCCCTAATGTCTTGAAGGGCTCTCCACCCTTGCAGCTCAGAATCTAAAGGTTGACAAATGTAGAAATAGGGTCTATGAGTCTTTTTAAGTATTTCAAAACTACTAAGGAAATCCTACATTATAATAAAGCTTGGCGGGCTAATTAGCAGATCAAGTTTCTTTGCTTTCATCTGGAATGAAGTCAACTTAGTGTGATAACAGTTGGTTATGCCATGCCAAACAAAAAGGTTGGAAAAATTTTCCTTGATTAATTTTTTAAAAATGAAAACAAATAATACTTAGATCTCATAAACATGGTTTGTTTGCAGCTGATATCTTGGTAAGCACCATCCCCCACCACCCCTGTCTAATGAATGCTGGGTACTCAGGAGTGGGAGGACCTTTCACTTCTTCCTCCCACTTCACTGGTGAGGAGCCAGATGCTGCCTTCTGACCCTCGGGAAGCCCTGCAAGTCCTGAAATGCTAGCTGCCTCAGTATTTACACACTTTACCATACATGGGAATTATTCAAGGCTGACGTCAGACACATTCCTGGGGAGCTGTGTGGTACAACCACGTCATTACCATACGAATTCCTCACAACTGAAAACAGCTAGGAAAGCAGCTCCTGTCCTGTCAGAACTGGGGATACCCTCCCCCTCCCTCCCATAGCAGCTCTGCCGCCCCATTTTTTTTTTTTTTTTCCTTTCTTCTCAAACAGGCTCTTTTCTAAGCTTCTTATCTTCCCTACACACCTGCCCCCAAAATTCAAATGTGCATCAGACCCGGTGAAAGCGTATTCACTGGGATCTGGGAACCAAATTTAGGGGTCCTCTCTCCCCCTTCCTGGCCACAAAGCACAGTAAAAACCTAGAGGCTGTGAGTTATAACCCTGACTCCATCCACGTTAAAACTGGCAAAGCCATATTCCCCAAATAGTTTATAAACCACTGTGAAGCACTTGGTAAAGCTAATGTGTTTCACAAATGGTAGATACATCCTTAGTGAGTTGATCTGGAAAAGGGAAAATGTAGAGGAGCAAAGAAAAATAATAACTGAGTAAGGGTTTTGGAAGCAGCTCCACAATTGATCAGCTGCGATCTCAGGTAAGTTACTTACCACCTCTGAGCCTCAGTTTCTTCATCTGTAAAATGGGGGAATATCAGTACCCACTTCACAGATTGTCCAAGATAATACATGTGAAGCATTTAGCAAGTGCCTGGCACACCGCAAGTGCTGATTATCTGCTTAGTGTTATCTTAAGGGAAGGCCAACTCTATAACGCTCATTGTACAATGTTGTGTCTCTTTAGATATTTTCCAATACTTCTGAGTAATGGCAAATGGCTGATTTAGAGGAAAAGTCCCTTTATTCTCACTAGCACCTCCTTGGATCTGAAAATGTTTAAGGCATGTCTCTTCAGTCCTCTAGCAGGCCAAGTTTTCCCAATAACTATTTGTAAGGTTTGTAAGTAAAGACGAGTGTCCAATCGGACAGCTCAGCTAACAGTCCATTCCCATCGCATTCATTCACCAAATAGTTACTGATCACCAACCAAGGGCCAAATACTCCACTCCCAGGAGGCAACTCTGGTCCCTCAGTCACTGGCTCCAGAGACAGATATTTGCAATTAAAAAATAAAACACTGAGGCCAGTGATTTCAGAAGGTGCTACGGCAGACCGGAGGCAAAGGGGCCGTGGCCCCCATTTTTCACGTGCTGTTGGCAGCTAGAATGGAGAGCCGGTGAGTTTGCTCTTTAGTTTCTCTCCTGCACCCTCCGCACACGTCTCTACACTGGTCATCTGAGGCATTTCAGACAGTTCTCTCCCTCCCCCTCCACCGGCCCACACCACACCCTCTGCAGAATAAACTTCCTTCCCTGCCTGACTGCCCTCCACCCTGGATATCCTCTTAGAGGCAGTCATTCACTGGGAGACTGAGTGGCAGGGAGGCTGGATTCGGGCAAGGATGGGATAAACGCTGCGTGGATGAGGGTTCAGGACAGTCTCTCGCTCAGCGATCCTGGGCCTCCTGAGCCCCCAGATGAAGCAGGAGCTGAATAAGAGCAAGAAGCTCAGCACCTCTCTCCCCAAATCCCACCTGGGGAATATCCCCAATCTCTACTCCAAGATGACAGACAGAAGCAAGGCCTTAGGCCTCCTCACCTTCTGGGAAGGAAAGAAGTGGGGATGCGGGACAAGGAGGAAGACAGTAATCGAGTATTACTATGTTGAACACCTGTTACCCGTTGCCGTTGAGTCGATTCTGACTCACAGCGACCTTGATAATACATTCCCTGAAAGAAAGTGAGGCATTGAGAGGTTAAGTAACTTGTCCAAGGTCACCTGCGTAGCAAGAGGCAAATCCAAGAGTCAAACCTCAGTCTTTAACCTTCCAAACAATCTGTCACCAAGATTCCTGGCTGTGTCTTCATGGTGCACTTTCTACTAGAGCCCAGTAGCAGATTTCTTGGTGCCACTGTGGCAGGATCTCAAGTACGGCCCTCAGAGTGGGGAGGGCCTCAGCATTCATTTTTCCCTAAAGGTGAATGGCTCTAGGGAAGAGCCTAAGCCCACGGTATTGCTCCCAGCATAGACCTGGTTCCTGACAGCAACAGCACAAAGACCAAGGAACACCCAGAATACTCTCAGGTCTGTGAGAGGGATGAAATACCAGCCTCAGAGGGTTGCTTGTTGGGTAATATGTTGCAAGGTGCGTAAACGAGCTCAATACAGTCCTCCTTTCCTGCTCCCTCAAACGCATGCTCAAAGGCGGAGGCCACAAAATACTGTGGGCTTGTCCAGGTTTCTGTAATCGTCCCCATCTAGCACCAAGACTTGGGGTGGGGAGAGGTGAAAAACCTCTCCCCTCCATCTAGTTCTTCCCAAAGTCTGAAAACTCGAACCTGCGCTCGGGCACACAGGTCCCCAAGGCCTGCTCGTGAACCCAGATGTTTCCCTCACCCCACCCGCGGGCATTTTCTCCCTGAGCAGGAGGGTGAGAGAGGGAGTGACATGGATGTCCTCATCTCCCTGTTATACAATGAGCGTCAGTGGCGCGCAGAATCGCCGATTGTTCTGCTGCGGGACCTGCAGGCGGTGGATCGGGGGAGCCGGGCCGCGCCGGGTCAGGAACGCGCGGGAAGCTCTGGGGTGGGGAGGGGCCCGGTGCCTCCTGGAAAGAGGAGCGCCGCCCGGCTAACAGCGGCCCCTTGTCACAACTCGGTCCGCCAAGGCCCCTGCCCGCGCCACTTTTCTAGCAACTTTCCTCGCAGGCGCCAGGGCCGCGGCGGGGCGGGAAAGACCAGCAGGCGCTCCATGCGTACCCGGACGCCCTTACGCCGAGCAGCCACAGGGGCAGAGCCGGGCCAGGGTAGGGCACCGGCTCCCGCAGGCCAGGGAGCTGGGGTCCCGGCGCACTCACCTGGCAGCTGGCTAGGGCGGCACGCGAGCTGGAGGCGCTCTTGGAAGCAGAGGTTGGGCGCGCCGGCCTCGGTGCAGTTTTGTTCCGCTCCGGGAAAGGCGTGTCCCGCTCGGCGCCAACCAGTGGGCTTTGCACACTGCACCACACCAGGGCTGATGTCATGGCGCGAAGCCCCGCAGCGCTGCCCACCCCCACACCAAAACCCGGGGCAGCCGGGACTGCGCGGGTGGAGGCAGGAGACGCCGACTCCGGGCTTGTCTGGCGGACCCTTGTTGTGGCCCCACTGTGTGCGCCGCCGCCGCTGCCGCCACCGCGCCTCAGAAAGGACGTGTACGGGGCTTGTCAGGGCTTCCCTGTTAGCCAGATGGGAAGGCGGAGACGTGAGCTGAGAGGTCAGAACCGTGATAAACTCTGCCCTTGGGGAAAGAAAAGTCTCAAATTTGCATGTCGTCGGTAGGGTGTGAAGGACGCATCATGGGCGCCCGAGTAAGCCAGACTATAGAGTTCTGATCGGCCCCTTCCACTTACTAGCTGGGGCCTTGAGCAAGATACTTAGCTCCTTTAGGCCTTAGGTTCCTCATCTGCGAAAGGGGTATAATCCACAGAGTGTTGTGGGGATGAAATTCCTTCAGCTGTGGCCCAGCATGATTTAAAACAACCACAACAAACAGTTGCTGTCCTGTAGATTCCAACTCACGGTGACCCCATGTGTGTCACAGTAGAACTGTGCTCCATAGGGTTTTAAATGGCTGATTTTCAGAAGTATGATAGACACTCAATAAATGTTAACTCTCTCTTCCAAGTGCTCTTTTTCCCCCGGCTTTCCCCAATCTTCCCTGCTACCCGAAAGAACACTCCTCCCCACCTCCAAAAGCGACAATTCTGAAAAGTGGGTGCCTCAGCTGGGGTTTTTCTCTGGACTGCCAACCTCAATATGATAGATGCAGGCTCCGGCCCCCGAGTGCTGCCCCTAGGGTATACCATCCCCACTTCCTCACCCGGTTCCCAGCCCTTCTGGCATCCTAGTGCGGGCATTTCGGGGTCAGAGAAACTAACACCTATGGAGCTGCTGCCTGGGTCAGAGAAGAGTTCCCGCCCTTTTCCTGGATGCTGAAACAGACCAGAAGACCAAAGTTTTGGACAAAGAAGGAACTCTCCAGGGGCCTCAGGTAGGGCCCCCTTAGTAGGGGAGCAGGACCTGGGTTTAAAATGAAGGCACTGTTTTCTCCCCTGGGGTCCTGCCTTGCCCCAAGCAAGAAGCGCTGCCTCTTAGGGCTTGTGGATTTGGGTTTGGATGGACATAAAGAATCTAAAAGACTGATTGTCTTAGTTATCTAGTGCTGCTATAACAGAAATACCATAAGCGGATAGCTTTAACAAACAGAAATTTATTCTCTCACAGTTTAGGAGGCTAGAAGTCTGAATTCAGGGCGCCAGCTCCAGGGGAAGGCTTTCTGTCTCTGTCAGCTCTAGGGGAAGGTCCTCGTCATCAGTCTTCTCCTGGGTCTAGGAGTTTCTCAGAGCAGTGACCCTGGGTCCAAAGGACGCACTCTGCCCCTGGCTCTTCTTTCTTGGTGGTAGGAGGTCCCTCTCTCTCTGCTCAGCTTCTCTCTCCTTTTATCTCTTGTAAAATAAAAAGTGATGCAGGCCACACCCCAGGGAAACTCCCTTTACATTGGATCAGGGCTGTGGCCTGAGTCAGGGTGTTGCAGCACACTCTAATCCTCTTTAACATAACATAATCTTGCCTCATTAACCACAGGCAGAGATTAGAATTTACAACGTATAGGACAATTACATCAGATCACAAAATGGAGGACAACCACACAATACTGGGAATCATGGCCTAGCCAAGTTGACACATATTTTGGGGGGGACACAATTCAGTCTATGACACTGATGTTCCCAGAAATAGGAGGAGCATGAAAAAGTTTTGATGAATTTCCTCAGGGAGACAAAGCACCATCGTCTACTTTGGTAGTTGTAACCTGTTCACTATGTTTCTGAGACAAAGGTAGCAGAGGGCTGGGTGTTGGAAGAGGACACACCTTGTCTCTTACTCTCTAGGGTTGATTATATTTTTCACTGGGTGCAGATGGTAGTAGAAACAAACCACATTCAGCTCTTGGCTTGACATTTCAGTGTGTAATTGATTATATCTGTGTGTTTGTGTTGTAGGGGTGTGCCTATGTATAACTTTCTACTGCTTTCTTGAGGTCTAGAGCATTCTCTGAGACGGAAATATTACAGCCTACTTCTGCCCATGGTAGTTAATTGGGGGCAGGCCCTGGAGGGTTTTGCTGGGCAACTGGTCACCCCTTACCCGAGGTCACCCCTAAATGCAGCTGCCACTTCTTCCAGCCTGGGCAGGTATTAAGGACTCAGGCCCCCACAGACTTTGTTTAAAGCCACAAGTTGCTGAATCAGCTCACTTCCAGGAATAAAGTCAAACATCTTCTGATCCAGAAATGAAGTATTCCTCTAGAATTTTCTTTCTTTCTACCACATTTCTTTATCAACAGATGTTTCAGGTCCTCTTAGATTTCAGCAAGCAAGGTTGTGTCATCTGCATATTGCAGGTTGTTAATAAGCCTTCCACCAATCCTGATGCCAGGTTCTGCTTCATATAGTCCAGCTTCTCAGATTATTTGCTCAGCATACAGATTGAATAAGCAAGGTGAAAGGATATAACCCTGATGCACACCTTTCCTGATTTTAAACCTTGCAGTATTCCCTTGTTCTGTTCCAACGACTACCTCTTGGTCTATGTATAGGTTCCACATGAGCACAATTAGGTGTTCTGGAAAACCCATTCTTTGCAATGTTATCCATAATTTATTATGATCCACACAGTTAAATGTCTTTTCATAGTCAGTAAAACACAGGTAAATATCTGTCTGGTATTCTCTGCTTTCAACCAAGATCCATCTGACATAGGCAATGATATCCCTTGTTCTAAGTCCTTGTCTAAATCCGGCTTGAATTTCTTGCAGTTCCCTGTCGATGTACCGCTGCAACCGTTTTTGAATGATCTTCAGCAAAATTTTTCTTGCATGTGATATTAATGATGTTGTTCAATAATTTCCACATTCTGTTGGATCACCTCTCTTTGGAATGGGCATAAATGTGTATCTCTTCCAGGTGGTTGACCAGGATGTCTTTCAAATGTCCACAAGGCAGACATTTCTATTACAGATGGGAGAAACTGAAGGGAAAGAAGGGATAACAGTCACCAAGCAAGTCCAAAACCCAGCAAATTACATTAGCTCTCAAGGCTTGAAAATAATCCTCTGTTCTTTGAGACCATCTGGGCAATGGCCCTGCCTTCCAGACTCTGGGTGTTGGCCACACCCTCTGGATTCTGGGTGGAGGCCCCTCAGCCCTGGACTTCGGCTCCACCTTCCAGGCCCACTGGGATGGCAACTCTGCTCCCTCAGCTTTAGGTGAACCCATTCTCCTAATCCATCTGAGTGGCAACCCCACCCCCTTTGTCCCAGCAGTCCCTGTTATTCTGCCCCTTGGGCATAGCAGTCCCATCCCCTCAGCTTTGGGCAGCTGTCCCATCCCCCTGGCACACCTTAACAGCAGCCCCACACTCCAGAACCGAGTTGGCAAAGATCCAACTCAGAAATTTAGGCGGCTGTGGCCCCACCCTTTGACATCCAGGAGACCATGGCCCCACCCTTTGAAACCCAGAAGGCCCTGCTTCCTGTGCTCCTTCCAACAGTTCTGCTGATCTCCAGCTACTCTAGGGATGGTCTTTTTCTTTTCTTGGAGGACAATAGATGTAGCTCCTTTGGCCTGTTTTCTGCCTATAGAATTCCAAGAGGCAGACAATGTTCTTCCCTTTTTTTCTTTCTCTGTTCCCTTCAGTCTGAGCTGATGGGTTTTCTGCTGTAGCAGTTGGTTAGATCCATCAATCACAGACTTAATCTCTTTAAGAAAAGATTGTGTAGCCACATCCTCAGTGAATATTCTAGGACACATGTCTTTAGTTTGTACAACAGAATTTTCCAAATCTTTTGAGTTCTATTTTCATTTTGCACAGTTCATTTTTAAGTCCATTTCTTACCTCTCGCATTTAAGTGGCAAGGAGAAACCACACAGCCCCTTTAAGATCTTGCTTAGAAAGCTCATCAGCCAGATAGCCAAGTTCATCACTTACAAGTTCTACCCTCCAACAAGCATTTGAACATAATTCAGACAGGTTCGTTGCCACTGCATAAAAACCATTGCCTTGCCTCCGTTGTCCAATCACATGTTCATCATTTCCTTTTAAAGCCTCACCAGAAACATTTAAAGTCCACATATCTAGCGACATTCTGTTGCTAGTGCCATAGGTATTTTCTAAGACAATAGAGCCTTTCTTTCCCTATAGCTCTACTTCCTTCCTTCTGAGTCCTCACCAGAATTACCTTTGACGTCCATAATTCTACCAACAGTCTCTTCAAGGCAATCTAGGCTTTTGCTATTAGGAGCCTTAAAACTCTTCTAGCCTCTACCTATTACCCAATTCCAAAACCACTTCCACATTTTAGGTATCTGTTAGAGTAGCACTTCACTCTTCCAGGGCCAAATTCTGTCTTAGTTATCTAGTGCTGCTATAACAGAAATACTAGAAATAGGTGGCTTTAACAAACAGAAATTTATTTTCTCACAGTTGAGTAGGCTAGAAGTGTCAGGAAAGTTTTTGTCTGTTCAGCTTCTGCTTCCCGGTTCCTTAGAGATCTCCATGTGGCTTGGCATCTATCTTACCCCATCTTTGCTTCTTTTATTTGGTTGTTTAATCTCTTTTATATCTCAAGACACACCCTACACTAAACCTGTCTCATTAACATAATAAAGGCAACCCATTCCCAAATGGGATTATAATCACAGGCATAAAGGTTAGGATTTACAACACATATTTTTGAAGCACACAATTCAATCCATAACAAATGATTAACATGCTTGGCTGCTAACTGAAAGGTTGGTGGTTCAAGTTCATCCAGAGGCACCTCAGAAGAAAGGTCTGGTGATCTACTTCCAAAAAATTAGCCATTGAAAATCCTGTGGAGCAGTTCTTCTCTGACACACCTGGAGTCAGCATAAGTTGGACTTGATGCAACGGTATCATGAATTGAATTGTGTCCCCCCAAAATATGTGTCAACTTGGCTAGGCCAGGATTCCCAGTATTGTGCGGTTGTCCTTCATTTTGTGAT